ATGGATAATCACTTTGGTATACATACTCAGAGTTTATTAAAGTAACTCACAGCAGCCGTCGTGAGTTACTTCCTCATTGGGGAAATGGGTCTGAGTTTGTTAAACCTGTTTTGTGAAGTGGACTCCTGGTCTTAAAATCTCTGTTCAACAGTCATTTTGTTCAAGCCAAATTCAAGTTTGCCTCTACGCAAAGAGACAAACAATTTCTGCCTATGCTGTTAGAAAAGGCTGTGTGTTTGAATAGCAATTTTTAATATTTTGACGAATCTAAAATTAGCTTTTAATTCCAGCTAAATTAGTTTTAATTTATCTGGAATATTCTAAAACTTCATTATGTGTTGATGCTTTTATGCCTTCATATCACTGGTTGTGTTTAGAGTTGTTTTTTTTGACTGAAAGGTACATTTTCTCTTACCTGCATAAATTTTTTTCCAAAGCTGCCCTGCTGTGTATTTTTGCTCAACCTACAGTTTTATTATTCCATAATTAACTCCCCAATGCCTGCATGAAAAGCATTTTAAGAGTATGATGCTTCAAATTATGCTTTTTAACTTTGTGGTATAGGAGTAAACAAGGGTGAATACAAATGCATCTCAAACTATTGTTAATTGACTCTTTCTTTTCACTTCAATGTTAACTAGCCACTGTTTTTTGTTTGTAACAAACATCCCTTCAAACCCTTTCAAAGACTATTTTATTAATTACTCAATTTTCAATAAAGATATATTTTACATGCACACAACAATGCTTTTACAAATACTTAAACATTTCCAAATAAAGGGACAAAATTACCCTGAATGCTTTAATTTGTATGATATTGAAGCATGAGGTATTGTTTTTTTTTTTTTAACTTTGCAGTCATCTTCATCTTTGTTTTGTTCATCCTGCTTCTTGTTTAGCGTTAATGTTGCATATTTAGAGGGACTTACTGGGATGATAAAGGTTACACAGCTTGTTTTGACACAAGGCTCTGAAGAATATCACACATGGATACACCAGACTAACGTCGTCTTTTATCCTATAGTGGCATTAAATGTCTCACTGCCATCTGGCAAAGCATAAATAAAAAAAGATACACTTTTAAGAAAGTCCATCTTAATTGTTAAATGTTTACTTACTACAGCTCTCAGTAGGCAGGCACACAGCTTTTAATGAGTCACAAAAGCCTATGGGCTCTTTAAGCTTACTTTAAGTGTGTTTCCAAACAAACCAAGCCCGGGAATGAACTGTCGATAATGGCTTGTATGGGCCAAAACAACACTGACTGATTAGGCAAATGATACAGTTACCCTTGCACTACCATTGTGTGTAAGTGTGCTCACACTTCTGGGGACTTACAAAAACAACATGTCCTTGTGGATTTTTTTTTTATGGTTTCTGCTAAGTAAAGTAAAGTAAAAAATATTTTCATCAAATTAATGTTACCACATTATCATATCAACTTGTATAAATCATTGTCGGTTTTACAGCACTCAGAAAAAATAAAATAAGGTATATCAGATGTGGGAAAAGGGCAGTTTTATTAATCATGGGAAAATATGTGAATTAAAGGATACTAATAAAAATTTGAACATACAAAATGTTGAAGTTTGAGTGGATTTTTTTTTTGGAGTCTGTATTTTTCAGATTTTTATAAGCACAAGTAACAGATTTCATGCAGTCTTGAAAAATTTGGAAGTGTAAAGAACATGATTTATCATTTTGGATGATTTGAAAACTAAAGTCTAGAATAAACCAATGTTTGAATTGGCTTCTCAGCCTCAACTCTCTGGGAAACACTTAAAGCATATCTCAGGGCACAGATTACTTCTCACTGTGTTCAAGTGTAGGTATATTGAAGAATTTTCCTCAGAGATTAAGGCTCTGGACTAATTCACATCTGGTTCTTAGACCCCTGATTTTTTTAGGAAGAAAGTAAGCTTATAAACTAAAATTAATTTATTAACTACCAAATAAGCATAGGGGGATTCTTAAATCACGGAGTAAGTTCTTTGAATATGGGTATAAACTTTCTAATCTATTGGTTAGTGAAAGCAACTTTCCTTATTTTTTCACAAATCATGTTACCTGATGGCTCCTCAATTCATTAATCACTGCTTCAGAAACTTTTATCCTAAATTATATATATATATTATATATTATATATCCCTCCTTACATATCTTGTAGTATCTGACTAGGTTTGTCTCCATCAGACATTCTTACTTAACTTGAGAGAACTTTTCATTATCGTTTACATTACATGTGCATCTAACACTTCAAGCCCAGAGACGGCAATATTGCTTGATGCTGAAAATGCATTCAACCAAGTTGGGTGGAATACCCTGAGCTGTTTTGGTATAGGTCCTAACTTAATTTAACTTGTCAAGCTCATTTACACTGATCAAGATGTCTGAGTTTATACCACTTATCTCTATCTATTCACTGGATTGCTGATTGCCCGAAAAAACTGACGCCACCGGCCGCCATATTGGTACTCCCCAATCCCATGGAGATGTGCAATAAGCATGCCTACATATGTAGCATTTGGCTGCAAAAACAAGCAGTTTGCTGGGTCTGGGAAGACATTTCACAGGTTATTTCACACTCAGTGGATGTGCTAACCGAGAAAATCCATATATACGCCGATGTATCCTATAGTACAGAATGTAGCATAACACTTGTCTATTTTTAATACAAATTTAAACCACAAATAATAATAGCATACAATACAGCCTTTAAATTTATATATTAGAATTATGCATATTCACAATGGGTTCATTTCGCACACTATAACCATTTTAATTGAAGACATCATAACTTTTCATGCATTCCATTGCAAAAAATTCACTCGTCAATTTGACAGCATGTGGGAGTTCTAGTAGTATCAGAATTCTGGGAGTCCTAGTGTTAAATGCTAATGCACAGGCACAGCATAAAATTATAGGGCATCATTCATGCACAATTTGCAAATAGGAAAATACTTTAGCATTAACAGACATGTACTTGTAATTCAGTCTTGATTTGAAACATTGAAATTACATGTAATATGTTATTACCATAACAATTAAATAAATACATGTCTATTACATGTAAATCATCAATTTAGAACTTTTGGCACATGTGTATTATTATCCTCCATTAACACATGAATTTTGTTGTGATGACCTTGTATAATATGTTATGTTATATGTTTTATAGGCTTCATACTGTACTAACTATCCAATGAGATGTGCCTATTTTTCTATTATAATTTAAAGTAATCTACTTATGCTATGAAACACCATGTGTGTGTCAAAGTGATGAATTTATCTTTGTTTAAAAAGGCTTACGCCTGCCGGAAAATGACAAAATCATCGTTGTTCGATGCTGTAGTGCACATATTGTTAACATTGAGACCGGTCTAACTAGGGAAATATGGCAGCTGGTGGCTTTATTTCAACCCCATACTACCAACGGGCTACCAGCAATCCAGTGAATAAATAGAGTTTAGTGGTTTATACCAGCAGTATCTCATCTGAGTATTTTTCTTTTCACAGTGGAACTGTTAAATATGGAAGTTAGGTCCCCTTGAAGGCAGCTGCACCTCAGAACTTCCCTACGGGTTCTTTACCTGGGAGCAAGTTCTTTACTGCTCTTAACTCAAACTGGGTAAAACCATATAAAAAGGACTATAAAACAGAAATGAAAAAGTAACAGCTTTATTCTATGCTTTTCATTCTAGCAATAGGGACTCTTGCCTTTGGTTTTAGAGTTAACAATAGTCTACAAGGTATCTCACATGATGGCCTAACTAACACTGCTTCACTTTATATGGACAATGTTTCATTTTATGTTTTATTTTATTTTTATAGGAGAGTGTTGCCTAGTGGTTAGGGCATTGTGCTTGTATTTCAGAGGTTCTGAGTTCAAGCCCCACTCACACGGACTGATACTCTGGCTCCCTGAGCAAGACCCTTCACCCCACACTGGGTGCTGCACAGTCCCGGGTGCTGCATAGGCAGGTATCAGGTGTCGGTTTTGGGGCCAAAAAATGGCATTGGATCAACAATAATCTTAGATAGTTGCTGCCCCTTCAATTTAAGATATTTAAGAAAAAGTAAAAAAAAATACTGTCAGATGAGGAGCAGGATATTGCTCCTCCTAGAATCCACTGTCCTTCCTCATTTTCCAGAAATGCTTTTTGATACAGTTTAAAGTGATACATAGGCTTTTGAAAAGCTTGCAAGAATATTCCCGGATGTGGACCACTATAGTGAGAAACATGGCATTAGAGAGACGCAGGCCAGAATGGCTTACATCAAATCCTACCTGAAACTGTCTGGTAATCATAATGTTAAATAAAGTGAGATTGCTATCACTCTGGTAATGAAAGCCGCTTACGCTGATCACTAATGTTGATGAACTAATGTTGTTCCAGTGTGCAAGTTCGCCTAAACAGTGTGGTAATCTTCTTTGGCCCCTCAATAATCTGACTATTAAAGACAGTTTAGACTCACCATTCAAGGAATGGTTGTCAAGAATAAACAGCTTAGGCTACGTTGACATTTGGCAGACTTTTATTTTAATTTAGCAAAATGTATTGAAATCCTTAAGCAATATTAAACAAAATGCATTTTATCTCAAAAAAGTGATTGGTATTTATCTTTATATCAGCAGTTATGTAAAAACATTATGAGTTTAGAGCTTAATGCATTCTTCCATATTGTTTTTTAAAAAACATTTATTGATTTATACTGATGTACTTGCTTTTATATAAAAAGGTCCTATGATTTGTACAAATGCCAATCAATCTATCTAAATTCATCTTTAATATCTGTGTTTACTCATGAGGAAACATTTTCAAGTGCATGTTTCAGCTGTAGTTAGAACTTGTCTTCTGTTGCTCACTGGGTCTATGCACATTAATCTCTGCCTTGATGGCCTCACAAGCTCTGCTTTGTATCCATGACCCAATATGCTGTGTGATCCTGCCTACACCCTCATTTGTCTCCATCAGGGGACAAGCGAGGCTACGACTTACCAATGCGCAGTACGTCTCGGGCGGATCTCCACACGTGATGTTTGAGGGGTCAAGGGCCACTCGCAGGTACTTTGTCATGTCGGTGGCTTCTGGCTGACAGGCCATGTAGTCCCATGCAAGGCCCTCCTCAGTATAGATCTGGGACTTGCACACGTCATAGTGTCCCCAGGCTGCAGGGTAATGTTGCATAGCATGTGACACAACGGTGCACACAGCCTGAAGGGTGAGTAATATAGGCCAAAACATTGCTGATCTTTTGATTATGGTTTCTGTAGAACACCCTGTCTATGTTGCTGTCTTAACTGCCTCTTGCTATATCAAAGTTAGGATTTTAAATCACTCGAAGTTCTGCACAGTGAAATGAGGTATTGATGAACACGGACAGCATCTTGAGATTATATGTGAGCAAAGTTGGGGAAATTTTAGCCTCCCGCCTGTTATTCTGCCTTTGATTGATAGCACATCTGACTGGCAGATGAGACGTGCCAAAGAGTGAGTTTTTTCAACAGTGCCGATGGTTGATGGAAAGGTCAAAAATCCTTCCAAAGTGGATTTGAGATAGAAACGACATTCCTCATATTCCAGCAGATTTTGATCTTGATTTCTTGTCAGTGGTATAGCTCAGCACTGCCAGCATCCTAAAAGACAAGAGAAAAAGAGGGTTTGTGTAATGTATGTGAACTAGAATAATAAAATTCACAAAAGTTTCATTGTGCATCCTCATATGCACATGCAACAACAGGGTAGAAAAACAGAATACACAATGCAAGATATTTGTCTTTGTATGCTTAGAAATAACCATGTTGAAATCACTGCATACAATTCAAACTGAGCACACTTCATAGGGCATAACCTCATTTAGATTTTCATCCAAACAGCCTTATTTTCAACTTTAAGTTGAGTTTTTTTTCCCCCAACTCCTTAGATAGCCTTTTGTGAAATTTATCATATGTCTAACCCATTTTTGAACAATTCAGATACAATAAAGTAAATCAGAGAGACAGAATTGAGCTTTTAAGATAATGTTTCTTAAAACTCTCACAAGTCATAAATCTGATGATATAACTTATCAAGCAAAAATGACTCACTCCAAATGTCTGAGACCTATATAATCACAAAATGACAAGTGTTTTAAAAAGAACAGATGTCTCTAAAAAATAATGGGTTTAGGTTAATTGAGTTCCCGTCAGTATTTATATCAGGCTTGTTTTTTTGCTGTGGTGACAATAATTTTTAGTAAATATTAGGATGGTAAAATGGATAGAATAATCTTTATAACAGTTGCAAGGGGAGAGTCCTAGGGTCACTTTAGGGGATGGGTAACCAATTAGAAATTCAGCAGGGTCCGAATAAAGAAAATCATCAACCAGTAAAGGTCCCGAGACATTTTTAAATATAATCTCTTACTTTAAACAGAATTTAACACTGAAATAAAATTAGGTGTTTATGCATCCATGGTAAACATCGAATTTTTAAATAAATGAAAATAGAAAATTTTTCCATTTTAAAATCTAAAGTGTTTTTTGAAGTAGAAAACCACAATCTTTCAGTTAGGTAAATAGACGATTTCCTGTTTCACCTATTTTATAAAACACCTGAACTGACTGTTTATTTATTTATTTTTCTTTTTTCTGTCTTAATGTGAGCAGTGGGCTTTAGGCTGCCCTGCAAGGCTTTAAACCTGGGTTTTAATGGGGACAAAGCCATTCTCAAGCACATATCAAGGTGCTCATTCCTGAGCCTGGATACATATTTATTTTTGATTATTTTCATGGTGGAAAATCCTGCTTCACAGAAGCAGGTTGAGCCAAACATCCTCAAAATGTGCAGGTTCCGCTCCGGTCTGATCAGGTCAGGATCCGCTCTTGCAATCGCAAACAGGAAAAAGAACAGCGATGAGATCCGATTTGTCAAATTAAAATATAGTAATAATAGACTGGCAACTACAAATTAAAGCATAATTCGTATATATTTCAAAAAACTAACACTGTTTATTTCAAAGATTGGATGCAAACTATTGGTACTTTAACATACCAGGAAGCAGATTTCTCATCTCCATCAGAAACCGCACAGATGCTGGATGCTGATTGGGATTATTTTATATGTCATACTAAATTAAGTGTTCATTTCTGCATGTTTTGCTCCTACAAATTTAATGATAATATCATGCATGCTCTCCTCGAGCTCCGAGGATAAGTTGGAGCGCAGCAATACGGGAGGAACAGGTACAGCGGAGATGGAGGATGTGGGATTTCGGGGTAACAGGAGAAGTGGCACAAGTGACGTTTAGACACTGTCGTCAGACAACATGTGGTAATTTATAAGTGCTTTAAATCAAGCTGGGTCTGGATCCGGACCACAGTCCGCTAATCCATGATCCCTGCTTTAGGGTCATAGAGACTATTAGATGTCATCTACTGTACATCAAAGCAAGTTGCCATCCCAAAAAAAAACTAAAAAAATTTTGCTCTTACAAACACAAACTGAATAAAATTTGTCAAATCGTATTAAAACCATTTGCTTTGGTCAGATTAGACCAAGATAAAAGTTAAACAAACACTCTAGGTTAGTCTACATGAAATAAAGGATTATCACGTGTAAAAGCATCTCATCCCCACTGTTAGGTATGGTATGTAATGATTGAAGCTTGTGGCTATTTTTTCTTTTTTTATTCCTACATAGTCCATATTGTGGATTTTGTTTTTGTTTTTTTGTCTTTTTATTCAAAAGTGTCTCAAACTCTTGGAAATATCCAGGCAAGGAATTTGAATAGAAGAATAAAAGATTTGGTGATATATTTTACATCTCAAAATCTGCAAATTACAAAGTCTCAAGGTATGTTAAAGATCCAGAATATGGCCAAACCAAACAATTCATTAGACACAAATCATCTTTCTCTCATGGTCGGCCTCTGGCAGGTTCTTTCCAGGTTTTCCCTGTATTTAGATTTAATTGGTCCTCCAATCCACCCAGATCAGCTTTTCCGTGCTTGTTAAAGAAAAGAAAGCCAGATTTTGCCAACCCCATGATTCATCTTCATGTTGTGTTTTGTAATTATGTACCGTGTTATTTTCATTCACCACAGAGTATGTTGCATGTTTCCCACAACTGTAGTTTTGTTGCTTCGACCAGAGTACTTTCTTTCACATCTTTGAGGAACGTCTGTCTTTACACTAAGCATAATCCAAACACTTGTTTAGGACTATTCATGCACTTGATATAAGTACAAGACTTTTTTTCTGAGTAAAGTTAAACTCAGTTTAAAACTGTTTACAAATTACATTTGATCCATCCCTTAAAAGGGAATTAAATGGCTCAAAAGATCACTCTTTTTGAGGAAAATATTGTAAGTTTTTTGTGTGTGAAATTCTTACTTAAAGCTCTGCATCAAAATAGGCATTAGCTGTCAGTAGTGGGGTCAGCTATTTTATCTTATTCAACACAGAACATTTATGCAACCAGGGCAACCTAACCCTAACATGTAGCTTCAGCATAGGAAGTTGGGATAATAAAATCTTTACCTTCTACTTTCACAAAATCAGGGGTGTTAAAAAATATCTAAAATATAACACATATTAAACCCACATTATCTTAAAATACAGAAAAATCTGGAGGTTGAGCGTGATAAAGTTACATTTATTTTGGAAACACAGCACAACTAACTAAAGGCCTTGTTATTAGAGAGAGAGATTAGCTAACATTTTTTCAACATCCATTTTCCATTTTTTCCTCACATGTCTGCCTCAGTGACACTACTCAAAATGCAGGGGATAGCAAGCGGAGGCCATGATTTCACTGGGAATAATACAAGGTCAGATTCTATATTAAAAGTAATAAATATTTAAGCACCTCTCCATATGCAGAGAGGAAGAGCCATTTCACCTCAATCCCTTGCCCACCCTTCCCTTAGTCTCTTTCCCTTTACTTTTTCTTAAACCCTGAAACACCCCCTTGTGTCTGCTTGCATCCTGTCCCCTGGGCAGCTCAAGCATAGCAAAGTGTTTTAAAAGTCAGCAGACAGCCTGCCATGCCCCGTGGCTTGTAATGGTTCCAAGCTCTCTTTGCAAGACTCTTTAAAATCATACTGGGTGGGTTTTATTCATTTCATAGTAATCCTGCTTAAGTAATGCTTTGGCCCCTGACATTGCTTTCTGATCTTTGTTTGACTCTTTATAGGGGTCAGCGTAAAAGACAAGATATAGCTCAGTAAGTGACACTACCTACAATAGTTTAAAAGAAAAAGACATACAAAAAAATAATAAACATGTAAATGAAAGAGCCTGACGACTTTCCATCTGGTAAGAATTTTGTAATGTGTGCATGCATGTACTCAGACATATACTCACACGCATACAACCACACTCCCTTCTTTCTAAATGTACTGAGGAACATGTAATGACTCCCAGTGGTTTTCTATCATTTTCAACACTTTTTATGTCTTAAACCTGACAAAACCCTAAACATGGCTATAACTAACTCTTAACAATAAACTCAATTCAAACCTTGGGCCTAAATCAACCATTAGCAAAGAAACCAAAAAACAAAACAAAATGAGAACCAAGAAATTATCTCACTTTGGGGAAAACTGTAAACACCATTTCAGTTTGACAGTGAAATAAGGAAAATTAAATGAATTCCGATGGCCAAAATCAGGGTACACACTCACGGTTAATTTATATTCTGTTTATTGATTGCATTGACTTTGAAGCATAGATCCTGATCTGCAGATGTAGGCAGACTAATGTTGTTGTTTGCTTTGGGTGATGAGAGCAACAATAAATGGATAAGTTCTCCTAACAACCTCCGAGCCAAAAGCCAACCTCTCAATATGAGTCACAGTGGGATCCACTGGCAAGCAGAAGCAGGTCTGTGTGGGAACATGTTTTTCTTATTTTCCTCACTTCTTTATAAGTCCTCCATTCAAGATCTCATCAGTACTTGTTTTTGTCACCTAACTGTTTTTCTGTGTGCTTTCCCCCAAAATGCGAGCAGACTACTGCACTCAACTCCATGCAGAAAAAAAAGCACTTTTTGTGCCCCACCTTTAACTTCACCAACTACGCATGTCACATTAGGCTGTTATTTGAAGAGAGGATGTTTCCTCCAGCAATATCCTGCAAAAGATACTCAATTTTCCTAAGGTGATGTGAATGATGTGGGGACAGTGTGATGGTCCTGCAGCCACAGCCAAACTCAGCTCAGCTATGTAATATACCACCATGTATAATTCAACTTTTTTCTTCTAGTTGTCTAATACACAAAATAAACACAGAGCATATTGACATCAGTGGGGG